GCCCCCTCACCCCCAGAGCAGCTGGCAGGACGAGGGCCTGTTTGTCTTCTCTTCACACTAAAGCTCCAGGTGGAGCTTCTCAGACAGGTGAGCCTTTCACAGAGAAGCGGGGCTGTCAGAGAGGTCGTGGGGCTTCCGCTGGAGGCCGCGTTGTCCAGGATTAAGCAGACGGGGGCTGAAAGGAGGCGCCAGGGTTTCTGGCTCCTCGCAGCCTTTCTTCTGTCACACAGGCTCCTCCCTCCGCGGCCTGACACACCTGGTTCTCTTCCCCTGACCCTGCTCAGGCAGCTGTGCTGCTCAGGGACACACCTGTGGGCCTACCAGGGGGCCAGGAGGCTCACCTGTCTTCACAGTCCGCCTGTCCATACACCTAACCTTCCATTTTTCTCTTCATTTGTCCATCCACTCATCTGTCCATCCTATTCATCCATCCATCCATCCATCCACCCATCCACCCTCTGTCTATGCATCCATCCATCCGTGTGTCCATCCATTGTCCATTTATCCACCCATCTGTCCATTTGTCCATCCATCCTTCTGTCCACATATGCATTCATCTGCCCATCCTCCCATCTGTCCATCCATCCATTCATTTGTCTATACATCCTTCCCAATTCTGGGCCCTAACTGCCTAAATTCCTAACTCCCTTCCCCCTCTGCCCTCATCCTTGGTTTCATCATCACAGACCAGAAAAAGAGAAATGAGAAAATCCAAATGTCCTGAGATGGAGGGCTCTGGGGGACACAGCCAAGATCCTAAGAGGTGGCTGTGACCAAGATTTCCAAGAGCTGGGCGGCAGCCTCAGGAAATTTTCAAGGATGGGGCAAACACAGCCCACTCCCCATCACCAATTCTACCTGCATCTGGCCCCAAGGGCTGCCCTCAGAATCCAAGTCCAGGGAACCAGCACCTCGTCCTTTGGGAAATTCTCCAGTGGGCCACTCAGGTATACATTCGATGTATAAACAGACCCCAGGAGATGAGATGGGGGTGACAGGGCCCAGAACACTGGCTGCTGGGGAATCCACATCCGTACCTGGGGGGTAACGGCTCAGACGGCCACCTCTGGTCACAGCGGGGTGAGCCCTTCATCTGCCACAGGTGGGTAATCTCTCATCTCCCCCACCCCATGGTGGTTGTCCCCTCGTGGGCACCCAGAGATCATGACTTGAGATCCCAACGCCATCTGCACTCTCCCTAAGGGTGGTAAAGAGGGGACAGGGCTAGTTGCCCGAACTGCCCTAACTTGGAGCAGTGGGTGTCTGCCACACACACTCACTCAGCCCTCCTAGCAACATAAGCCTCTCCCCACGATGCCCCTGAAGTCCCCCAGCTCCTCCAGGCAGGACAGGGAGCAGGCGGAGGAAGTACACAAGAGTTAGCGGTCCAGCGCCTGGGAGTTTGAAGGTGGTACAGACGGCTTCTGTCCTGTTCCTGGCTGTATCCCTCACCCAGCCTGGCTTAAATATTTGAAGGATGAATGCAGCTGACAGGCAGAGCCTGGCTGGCCGGGCAGGCAGCCTTGGCTGTCCCGGTGTCCTGCAGGCGAGCAGGGCCCTACCACATGGAGATAAGACCTCCCTCCACCCTCCATAGAGCCTGTTCCACACGGGGCCCTCTCAGTCAAGCCTATGATTTAGGTTTCTAAATTTGGGGGAATCTGGGAACTCATGAGGCTCTCAAAAAATGAAAAAAAAAAAAAAAAACCAGTCACAAGTCCATTTTCAAAAGACCAAATGGAATTTTACTTTCTGGCCTCAGCTGGGTCTACAAGTCCCTGTATTGGCCCTGGCCGGCCTCATTGAGGCAACTCAACCATGCCGGCTTGCTCCTGCCTCAGGGCCTTTGCACTGGCCATTCCCTTGGACTGACACTCGTTTCAGGCCTATGACCGTGAGGGCCACTCTTTCATTTTTTCTGGTTTCCATTAACTGTCACTTCCCTGACCACCCTGTCCACTCGCACCCATCTCTGTTTTAAGGGCACTTAACAATCTGTCTAGCGTTATATCACGTATTTAAGTTGGTGACTGTCTCTCCCACTAGAATGCCAGTTCTATGGGGGCAGGGACCACCTTTGACATCATGTTCACCACTGTGTCACCCACGAGCCCCAAAACTGCATGACATACAGTAGGTGCTCAGTAAGTATTGGTGGGATGATTCCCAGATCTTCCTTTGGCTTGGGAATTACTAGGAACATTACCATCTTTGCTTCAAAGAGTGGGCAAGAAAAAAGAAAAAACCTATGGTCAAGATGGGGGGTGGTGGTCAGGGGTTGACTCACACCCAGCCTGGTCCCCAGTGCCTTTTAGGTCTTGGGGGGCAATGTTGCAGCCAGCCAGTTACCCTATATCCATGCGGTACTGTCCAGAAGGTAAGTTTAATTTATTCACAAAAAAGTAGGGGGAGAGTGGACCTCTTTGTAGAGGGTGAGCAAATTTAACATGCACGTCCAGCATAATAAATACGGCGACAAGCCTGTGAGGACCTCAGTGACCTGGGGGTGGGGACAGAACTGCAGCTCACCCCGCCCCCCTCCACCCGCTGGGGCGTGTGGTTCCAATGTTGACCGGGAAGGCAGTGCCGGGAACAGGGTATCAGAACAGAGATGTCTACCCCAGGCTGAACCCCAGGCCCACAAGGGGTGCCAAAGCAAACCCGGCCCTGCGTGCAGCCAGCATCTTCCTGGGCATTTGAAACCATCGGCTCCAAAACACAGGAGAGCTTTCTGTCCTTTTGTGCAAGATTGGCAGCTGGTATTTTTGCCTACATCTGCTCCTAGGAAGCATTCTCAGTGTGTGTGTGTGTGTATGCTAAGTCACTTCAGTCGTGTCTGACTCTTTGTGACCCTATGGACTGTAGCCCACCAGGCTCCTCTTTCCCTCGGATTCTCCAGGCAAGAATACTGGAGTGGGTTGCCATTTCCCCCTCCAAGGGATCTTCCCGACCCAGGGATCAAACCCACATCTCTTATGTCTCCTGTATTGGCAGGTGGGTTCTTTACCACTGGCGCCACCTGGGAAGCCCCCAATCAACTATACTCGAATAAAAAATTTAAAAATAAAAAAATATATATATTAAACCCAAAAATAAAGTATGTTTAAAAAAATTTTTTTAATAAAATTTTAAAACCCACAAAGATAGTTAATTAGCCACACAATGAAAAGTAGGATAATGCAAGGTTTAAGGGTAGCGACCCAGGAGTCCAATTCCCTGGGTTCTAATCCAGCAAAGTCACTAACCTCTCTGTGCCTCAGTCTCCCCCTCTGGAAAATGGATCTAACAAGAGCACCTACATACTTCATAGGGATATCAAGAAGATGAAATAAGTTGGCAGAAGTAAAGAGCTTTAGGACAGTTCTTAGCACCTGGGAAGGCTGTCTAAACGCAGATGTCATTACCTGTGTAGACAAAGCCCTAAGTCTTGCCCTCAAGCCAAATTAAAAAGATTAGAGACACAGCTCAGTTCCATACCTGGCATCTAGTTAGCAAGGAGAGGGAAAAATAAAATCAAGCAGGACAGCCAAGACAAGTAAGGCAGGAGCGCTGTTCCTGTGGCGGCCCCTGGCTGGCAGGAAAAGCATCCAGAAAACCTTCTATAAAGCAAATTCTGGGCGACCCAAAGAGTAAAGGGGAAGCCTGCTTCTCTGCCCCATCCTCCAAGCCCCATTGTGTAGGACACCAGAGGGACTGAGTCTCAACACGAGCAGCCCAAATAACCCCCATTCAACCGTGCCAAGTCTGAGACACTCGTGCAGGAAAGCTGACGCGTTCGGACAACAGGATCAGTTTCACTGCCAACAGCCGGGGTCACACCTATCGATCCCTGGAAGTCCGAATGCCTCTCCCGCCCCCTCACCCACAAAGAGAGACCAAAGTTCAAATTCAACACATGATTTTGGTCTAAGACAAGTGTTTCCCAAACTTTGCTGCACTAGGATCGCCTGGGGAGGTTTTAAAAATCGTGATGTCCAGCTCGCAGCCTCTAATAAATCAAATGAGAATGTCTGGAAGTACGAGGTGGGTATGGGAATTTTTTTTTTTTTTTAATCTCCCAGGGATTCCCATGCCCTCTCAAGGCTGGGACGCACCGGAGCAAAGAGCAAGGGAGACACCGGTGACATTCCTGTCTGTAGGCGGGAGGTGAGATAACCATTCCTTTCGGTTCTGGGGAGATTTTCCAACGAGCGGGATGCATTTACTGCCTTGTGAGGGACCTCTGAGGGCCGGGGGCCCCAGGAAAGTGGTGCCAGGCTGCAGTCGTGCTGGTACACCCACTAAAGCATGCAGAGAACTGCGAGAGCGGGGAGATGCCACTGGGACTGTGAGCGGCCTCCGAATCTGTCTGTCCTTCCTCAAAGCAGAAGGCGCCCAATCCCGCCCGCTTGGCTCCCGCCTGCCGCGGAAGGGGTGGGGTGGGAGGAACCCAGTCTCAGCCCAGCCACCAAGCGGGAAGACCCCCGCAGTCCACCTGAAGGTCCCAGTGCCTCTGGCAAGGGGTAAAACTCTTGCGTCTCCAGACCTGGGGTTCCAGCCTTCCCCAGGCACCGCCTCAACTCCACGTCAACATCCCTCAAAATCCCGAGGAGGAAGGGTTCCTGTCTGGGTTTGGTTTAAAAAAAGGCTTTCACGTTGGCAACCCAAGGGGAGCAGTAAACAGGGAACCTGGGTCCACTGCTGGGGCCTGGGGCTCCAGCTCACCTCTGGGAAGCCAACCTCAGAATTTCAGACGGTCCTCACCCCCTGTTCTTTTACTGCTGATAGTAAGACTCCTTAAAGAGGCCGGCAGCCAGGGAGAGGTCTGCAGGGACCAGGCTGGCCCACCCCCACCGAGGCGCTCCGATCCCCACCTGGGGAGCATGGCTGTCTCTTGAGACACCTTCTTGGCTGGGGGGATGCCGGGAGGGACCCAGGCCAGGCTCCTGAAGTACCCCGTCTCCTTGGGGGGGTGAGGGGGCGGGCACTGCCCCCCTTTTTGCCCGAAGGTGCGTGCTTACCGCTCTGGCCTCGCCGGGTCCGGGGGCCTCGGAGGAGGCGCCGGCGCCCCCAGCGCGGGCGTCGAGGATGCCAGGCGCCAACGAGTAGAAGGGCGGGCTGGGGCTGGGGCTGGGGGGTAGCCCGGAGTCGGGGCTGTCCAGCACGCCCTCCCTGCTCTTCTCCTTGAGGCTCTCCTCCATGCCCTGCAGATGCAGGTGGCCCACCATGTCTGGGGGGCGCGGGGCGCAGGCCCCCGGCTTCTCGGGGGGCTCCTCCACCGCGCTCCGGGGCCCGGGGCGGGCGGGCGGGCGGCGGCGGTGGGGCGAGGGCTGCGCGCGCCGGGGACCTGCAGGCAGAGCCGAGAGGTGGCGCGTCAGGCCCCGGGGCTCCCCGAGCCCCCGGGTTCCCCGACCGGCCGGGCCGTGCGCGCCGCGTCCAGGAGGGGCCAGCGATCGGGCGCCCGGCTCTGCGCGCTCGGGGCAGCCGCCGCGCCGCGCTGCCACGCCGGGCCTGCCGCCCGCCCGCCGCTGCTGCTGGCCGCGCTCCAGCCACGCCGGCCCGGCCTCGTCTCTGCGCTCCACCGCCCGCGGCCCGGCCCAGCCCGAGGCGCACGCCGCCGCCGGGCCCTCTCTGCACCTTCCCGGCCGCGCCTCCTTTTCTAGGCGCCTCCTCCTCCCTCCTCTCTCCTCCTCCCGGCCCACCCCGCCCCCGGCCTCCTCCGCGGTGGGCAACCGCCCCGGCCGGCGCCTCCGCCAGCCCGCGCCCGCGGGGACTGCACAGCTCGACGTTCTGTGTGTTTTAGTCGCTCAGTCGTGTCTGACTTTTTGCGAACCCATGGGTTGTAGCCAGCCAGGCACCTCTGTCCATGGGGATTCTCCAGGCACTGGAGTGGGTTGCCATCCCGGCTCCGGCCAATCTTCCCAACCCAGGGATCGAACCTGGGTCTCCTGCATTGCAGGTAGATTCTTTACCATCTGAGCTACCTGAGAAGCCCTACAAGCCGCCCGAATAAACACCCCCAGTGGCAGCACTGGGGGGGTGATTTATGGGGTCCTCAAGCCATCGTAAGTAACAGCAGTAGTAGTAGTCGTGTCTGATGTAACCTTTCGAGGTTTCCTTCCGCTCACTAAAGTCCCAGTAAAAGAATCTTCAGAGATCTCTGTTTTAGAAAGTCTCTAACTTAAAATGGAAATGGCAACCCACTCCAGTACTCTTGCATGGAAAATTCCATGGACGGAGAAGCCTGGTAGGCTACAGTCCATGGGGTCGCAAAGAATCGGACACGACTGAGCGACTCCAATGTCAATGTCAACTTACAATGGAAGGGGCGAAAACAAGATGCTTAAACGCTCACCAGGTTTCAAGACCCGTTCCTTGGCTCCTCTCTTTTCAACGCGACTGTCCACCCCTCTGTTTACCTTCTAAGATAGGAACCAGTGGCCAGGGGTACTTGTGTCTCCGTCATCGATCATCCGAGGCCAACACACTGGGCCTTTGCGGGTGGAAAGCACTGAGTGAAAATGGGGCTGGGGGAGGTGACCTGGAGATTAAAAATATGTCCTGAATCCTCCAGCATTTTGCTGTGTGCCTAGTTTCTTCCAAGCAGGTTCTTGCTCGCTGAGAAAGGTCTCACCCATCTTTTCCCTGTTTTCCTTCCTTGGAAGGGAGAAGGCACTTGCTTCCCTTTCTTCAGGTGACTGATAAGGGGGTCCTTACATTTCCAGGTCCCACCCACCCATCTACCCACACACACATTCCTACATCATCCCCAGGTGAGCCAGCCTTCCATTCTGAAAGTGGGGACTTCAGATGACTGATAAAGGGGATCCTTACCTTTTCAGCTCCCACCCACTCAGCCACTCCGCAACATCTCCATGTGATCCAGCGTTCCATTCTGAAAGCAGGGAACCCAGGGATATCTGCAGGTTGCTTTGAAAGGACCAGAGGAATGTGGGAGAGGCTCATATTCTAGCTAAGGGAACAGAGGTCGCAGGGAAGGTGTGAGAGCGTGGACAGATACACTAGTTTAGTTTCTCTTTGGTGTCTGCTCTTCAGACAGCCCCAAACTGAAGGCACCACCTTCAAGCATGTTCATCCCATCAGGATTGATCAAGCCCTCACTGTGCCCCCAGCCCTGGCTCAACCTCAGAACTACCCAAAAGCAAGATAGTCCAGCTCTGGGGTGCGCAGTCTGATGAATGGGGGAAGCAACACTGTGAGTTTCAGGGAGGAAATTAACAAGGAACTGCCAGCAAGAACCATCAGCAGGACACTTTCTTGCTGGGGTGCTGATGGAAGTTGACTCTGAGAAGGTGACATTTTCAGATGAGTCCTGAATAACTACACATGAGCTGGAGGAAGAAAATTAGCCTTCCAGGTGGGGGACACCAAGGACAAAGGTGCTCTCAGAGTGAGAATGAGGTTCATTCCAGGAAGGCACGGAAGGGTGGGGTACCTTCCTTCAAGTGTGTGTGTGGTGGTGGGGGGGCATAGAGGGACATGTTATCATGAATTTACAGCCCATTTCCATATCAACCAGGAAGATCATGGGCAGCCTGCTGCCCAAACAGAACTTTGAATATCTGGAGCATTCTGGAGAAAAACCATAGAACTGACTGCTTCAATTCTTGGACAAGACAGGAATTCCTCAGCCTTGGGCTCCTTGACCAGAAACACATGGGTGACTTATCATTCACAGGACAGAAGTGGGGGACTGTGCCTTCCAGAACATGAACACATTAAGATACACTTTCTTTTTCTTCTTTTTTTTTTTTTGGCCGCTCCACAAGGCATGTGGGATCTCAGTTCCCCAACCAGAGATCAAACCCACATCCCTTACAGAGGACACACATAATCTTAACACTGGACTGCCAGGGAAGTTCCAAGATGCACTTTCCCCAAATGCTCACCCACTCGAGTCCACAGACGAGAGCTTGCATCCACTGCTGGGCTGCCTTGGAAAAAAATCTTTGACAAGAACTGATTGCTTCTTATACCAGGCAGCAGCATCCACGGAGGGCAGGTGGGGGGCTGGGGGCGGTGTGCGGGGCAGACTTGCATCCTTGAACAGTTATCTTGACTTTATTTAACGTGTTGCTCTGTTGCTCACCTGGAATTTTTTGTATCAAGTTAGACCTGTAAAACATTGCAATAAAATAGTATTTGTCATGATTTCTGAGTATGGGACATTCCTTTTTTTTTTTGGCCATGTACTATTCAGGATGTTAGTTCCCCGACCAGGGATCGAACACATACCCCCTGCATCGGAAGCTCAGAATCTTAACCATTGGGCCACCAGGGAAGTTCCTGGGACATTTCCTTAAATTTTGTTCTCTAGGCGAGTGCCCCACTCTCCTCCCCCTAATCCTGGCTCTCTTGTGCCATTCAGGCTTATTAGATGAAACTGTGCCCACTTGAGTTCTGGAAGTTTCCTTGCACCCACACACAACTTCCCCTGAACTGGAGTAACACTGGGGATGTGTATACACCCAGGAGCAGGAAAAACATGACTGCACTACAAATGTCAAACACCCAATGAGCAGCCCGCACAAATGACCCCAGTGACCATGACCTCTGACCTATTCAAGTCCACTGCTACAGGCCGGGGGCTGTCCATCCACTGAAAGCCGGTACTGTAAAAAGCTTCTGTCTCTCACTGTGCCAGATGGTCTGCAAATGTCAAAGAGAGGAGAAAAGGCCGAAATTTCCATAAGTTAGCTTGAGCCAGGGGCTAGCAGTGGGTGGCTGGCTGGCTGTCTTGGCTGGTGTCTGGAGGAAAAGGGGCTGGAATCTCGGTCATAGGAGGCCAGAAGAGCAAGAAGAGGGATCGTTCCAGATTGGAGTAAAGGCTCTGGGCCAGGTGCTGTGGGTGGAAGCTGAGATCGAGTTTGCAGGGATGCCTATGTGGGGCTAAGGGATTTGGACTTTATCTGCCTGAGGATGCGGAACAAGTAGATTTTAAGATGATATGGGATGTCCCTGGTGGTCCAGGAGCTGTGACTCTGAGCTCCCAATGCAGGGGGCCTGCGTTTGGTCCCTGGTCAGGGAACTAGATCCCACACACCACCACTAAAGACCCTGCATGTCACAATGAAGATCAACGATCCTGCGCACCACAACTGTGACCCGGCGCAGCCAAAGAAATAAAGAAATACTAAAAAAAAAAAAAAAAGGAATGAGCTGATGCAAATTGCTTCTGAAGTTGGAGTAAAGAGGGGAGAGTGGAGACAGAGAAAAATTGGGTAAAGTCAATATTTAACAGAAAAGCAATATTAGGATACCCCGACAAGGGGTCCAGAAGTGGGTATCCAATATTGGAGAGACAGAGATTCGGGTACCACACACTTCCGGGAAGGAAGAGGTTCGTTCAGCAGCTCAGGCAGTCACCTACTTTTAAGAAAGGTGACCTAGGGTAGTCCCAAGTTCCATGGGGCTCACCCAGCACTCCAGCCTCAGGGGGACTTCCTCGGAGCTGCTTTGTAAGGAAGAGAAGCTCAAGGCTGGGAGAAGGAAAGGCCAGCGGATGAAGGGGAAGGGCACAGAGGAGAAAAGGCTTTTTCATGGAGAGCCATTAGCCACTTGTTCCAAGCAGCAGTGAGCAGCATTCATGAGGTGGGGCTGTGCCTTCTGGGATAGTTGACAAAGGCCCCTGCACACGCACTGTCTCACCCTGGAACCACGCAAACTACCCTGATGCTCCAGATTCGCGTGCATTCCTTCCAATTTAAAATAGAGCAGCTCAATCCATGGAGGCTCAGAGAGGGTAAGTAAGAGGGCGAGGCAAGACTAAGGTCCCAGTGCCTGACGAGGCATTCCCCTGACCTGCACAGAGAACCCCAAAGCAAACAGCCCATCTGGGGAGCAAGCTGAAGACCCCAAAGGCCCAGTGAGTGGAAAGCAAAGATTTGGCTTATGTGACATAGTGATTGTTCACAGATCACCTCCCAGCTTGCCAACTGCCCTGGAAGTTCCTTGGGGACAGGGCTTGGCACTCCTGTTTCCTGGTGGGCTGTACGCAACATACACAGCAAGTCTGAGTAATTGTTCTGCATCAGAAGGGCCCTAGTCACTCACATAGCTGTCCCCAGGGAGGCGGTGGCCAGTTCATTTAATCAGATCTGTATAGTTCCCCAGGTTTCCTGCTTGGCTCAAATAGTAAAGAATATGCCTGCAGTGCAGGAGACCTGGGTTCGGTCCCTGGGTTGGTCAGATCCCCTGGAGAAGGGAA